TACATCCTCAATGTTTTCAAATCTCCCAAGGCTCCCGAAGTCTTTTTTTTTTCCTCCCTCAGGTAATTTATTAGGGTTCCACAAAGTATTGTTTAAGTCTGGAAGTCCTGAATGTTGGTACCTTGTCCAAAGAAGTTTATCTTGACGGTGTTTACATTTTACCTCAAGGGAGTTCCTGGTGTGATGTTTTCTCATCTTTGTCTAAATTACAAGTGCTGAGTCTATCATTTTGTTCCCTTCGGGATCCAATTTGTTTTTCTCTTTCGAACCTTACTTCATTAAGCGATCTTCATCTTGATTACTATCCATTTTCAACCTTTGTTCCCTACTTCCTAGTAAACTTTTCTAGCTTGACAACCTTGAGCTTCGAAAGTTGTGTTTTGAACGGACAATTTCCGGAGAAGATTTTCCAGATGCCTATCCTGGAAACTATTGATTTGTCACACAATAAATTGCTCTCGGGTCATTTGCCACAGTTTCTGATTTTTAGATCATTAAAAGAGGTAACACTTAGTTATACAAACTTTTCTAGTTCCTTACCTAACTCCATAGGGAACCAAAGAGCATTGTCCCAGCTAGACTTATCACGTTCAAATTTCAGAGGGGCAATTCCAAGCACATTAGGGAACCTGTCGGAATTGGTCTATTTGGATTTGTCAGCGAATAGGTTCAGCGGTTCAATTTCTTGGTTCCCAATGTCCAGAAAACTTGAGTACATTGACTTGTCTTAAGAAATAATTTCCGGTCAGGAAACCTTCCATCATCTTTGTTTGGTCTGTCATCCTTGCAAATATTAGTAGTCTCTGATAACCAGTTTGAAGGTTTTCATCAAAAGTCTCTCAATGCTTCCTCCTCTTCACTCTATGAACTTGATCTCACCAATAATCATTTTCGAGGATTTATTCCAAAATTCATTTCTGATCTCCAAAGGATTATCTACCTCGAATTTTCTTTCAACTCCTTCACCGGATATGTAAGTTTAGACATGTTTATTAGGCTACCGAATCTTTCAATTCTCAATCTTTCTCACAACAATTTGTCAGTTGATGGGAGCTGCAATAGAACATGCTTATCCTCATTTCTACGGCTCACGGAATTGAAACTTGCTTCTTGCAATCTTAAAAAGTTCCCTGATCATATCAAGAATCATACATCTCTGATCATATTAGACCTTTCATCACACTTTATAACAGGGAAGATACCTAATTGGCTATGGAATGATAGATCCCACACTTCTCTTCGACGTCTTTATGTACATGCTAATCTACTCAAAGGTGAGATACCCCTTCCATCCCCGCGTATCGAATTCCTAGACTACTCAAACAATATCTTCAATGAATTCCACCTAAAATTGGTGATTACCTTCTCACAATATTTGCAGGATCGTGATCCTATGTAGGATCGAAATGGGGTCATAGGATCGGATCGTAAACGGGATCGGTAGGATCGGAACAATAGAATTGTAAAATTAATTATACATGTTATATAATTAATTACTTTAATAGTTAAGTTTTAATTATCTTTAAATAAAGTATTTAACATTTAAACGAAAAGAATTGTGTAAATTCAATTTTCGTGTGTGAATTTTTTCATAACTTTTTAATGAAAACTCTTCTCTTATTTTATTAAAAAAATAAGAAAATACATTTTTCTTAGCAAAAAAGTTTTCTTAATGAATATTAACCTCAATTGAATGTAGACCAAAAGAAATAAGAGAAAAGAAAAATCTCAATAAGCTCAATTAATTTTTTGTAATTAATGAATAGTAAACTCGAACCGATCCTACAATCCTGACCGATCCTGTACGATCCGAACCGATCCTGACTGATCCCACTCCGATCTCACTACAAAATTCGACTTTGATCGATCCAGGATCAATTTAGGTACCTGGGATCGTAGGATCAAACGATCCTACGATCCAGGATCGCGAGTTTGCAAACTTGGCCTTCTCAACATAAGATACTTCTCTCCTTCAAATAATTCCATCGTTGGAGAAATCCCTGAATCCATATGCAATGCACGTTACCTAAATGTCCTTGATCTGTCCCATAACTCTTTGAGAGGTGGAATACCAGCTTGTTTGTGTACAATGACGAAGAGTGAATTGAGTGTGTTAAATCTACGTGGCAATAAAATTCGAGGACTCATACCAAGTTCAATGCGGGACAACTGTCAGCTAAGAACATTAGACCTTAGCAGAAATGCCTTGAATAGACAGTTTTAACGTAATCGAACTTATTAAATAAATTATTTCTTTTTCTATACATGTTCGTTGGAGTTTTAGTTAATTGTATAATATCTTATGATGGAGTAAGATAAATACACCAAATCTTACACAAGGGCTAAATACTACTGGAGGATCAAATGCAATGCCACCAAAAGCACCAAAGTCAAATCCACTTCTAGGTCCAAATCCTAATCGAAAGGAAGATGTGGATAATAAGGAAGTCTTTGGTTGCACTAGTTTTTGAGATTTAGCGTTGGCGTTGGAATAACATTATTGATGAACTTTTTTACTCCAACATGGTGGCAAAGGTGTAATGCGGTCATATGAATTTCACTTTGTCTTGCGAGTTTAGTCTAGATGTGTAAGAAAGGTTGTACTGAAATCCAATTCGGAAACTTTGAGGTTTCAGAATTATGTGATTTTTTTCAGCTGCACAAAATAATTTGAATATATCAAGTAATTTTCACTTTGTTCTTTTTTTCTTCTATTTTTTTTTTCTCTTTTTGTCTACTCTTTTGTTTTTGTCATTAATGATTTTATCCAACATCTTGGTTATAAAAATTGGAATCTGTACATACATCAGGAGTATAGAAATTGCACCACAACACCAGAAAGAGTTCCTACATCAGGCGTTAGGTATTACCTCTACAAACTTTAAAAGCAGATATCTAGGAATGAGTTTAGATTTTGACGAGAATAAAATAGTCATTTTTGATCAATTCACTTCAAAACTGAGTAACAAGCTAGGAGACTGGAAAACAAAGATGTTTTCATTGGCAGGGAGAGTAACTTTAACAAAGTCGACTCTCTTGTCTATGTTGGTATATTCCATGGGAGTTTTCAAATTACCAAAAGGTACATTCAGAAAACAAACCAAATCATTGGTAAGTTCATCTGGGATGGAGACAAAAAAAAAAAAAAAAAAGCAGGGGTATCCTGGACCAAACTCCAAAGTATGCAGGTCAACCCTTCATGGTGGTTTGGGTTAAAAATCGACTGAAGAATTTAATCAAACCTTACTAGCAAAATATGGCTGGAAAATCATCTCAGCTCCCAGTTACTTGTTATCTCATTTTTTCCGAGGAAAATATAACAAAGGGAGATGTTTTACAATGCCAGAGAATACGTCAAACCTATCATGGGGCTATAGAAGCATCCTATGGAATTTTGAACTGCTGAAAGGAAACATTAAGTGCAAAGTCATTTCAGAGAAAATATCAAGATCAGTGAAAATTGGATCCCACAGTAGGATAATCCCGTAGCCAGACTACCAGAGACTCCATCTTGGCAACCAACACTGATCTGCGAGTTTGGCACCTGATCAATACCAATGGCTCCTGGAAGATGCCACTGTTGAGGAAGATCTTTCCACCCCATATGATACCTTTCATTTAAGGTATCCACATTGATCCAATGCTGAGAAGACAAGATGACAAATTGATCTGGATAGGGACGGACCATGGAAACTATACTGTGAAATCAGACTACAAAGTTGCCTACCATAAGGAACATCCACTGGACACAGAGAGAGCAGACCATGAAAAGAGGTCTTGGAAGCGACTATGGAAAAGCAGTGCGCCATCTAAAATGAAACTTTCCATCTAGAGGGTTATATATGATGTATTGCCAACAAAAGTAGGTCTCAATAAGAGAGGAGTTTTGGAAGAAGTCCCATGTCCAAGATGTTAAGGAGCACCGGAAAACATTTCTCAGATGTTCCTGGAATGTGATCAATCAAAAAGACGACTATGGAGGATCTCAAGTCTAGGTTTCAACTTTGATACTGGACAATCTATAAGCATTAAAGACTAGTTCCTAAATTGGTTGAAGGCTGCACCAGATGATGACTCAATAGCACTGTTAATTTTCATACTTTGAGAAATCTGAATACAGAGAAATAACAAAGTATGGAGGAATATAATCGACAAGGACATGTGTCCAAATATGGAGTTAACTTAAGCAGGACTTTATTGTGCATCAAAATCTATGCAGGAAAGCTAGAACAAACATATCCACAATCATCCACACACAGGAGATTCTGGACATAGATAATCCTCATGCAGGGTTGAAACAAGATGTCATCCTCTTGGATGGATCCTTTATACCAAGAACCAAGCGGCCGGAGCCTGGAAGATCACAACTAGTCAAGGTATGATTCTACAAATCAAATCCATGAAGGTGGCGGCCCTCTGCCCTCTTCAAGCAAAAGCCACAACTCTCCTTCTAGCATTACATGAGGCAAACGACTTGGACCTCCACCACATTCGAGTTCACACGGATTGTGAATTCCTTGGAAACTCACTAACTCCTAATTCATCACCGGTTGAAGTACAGGAGTTGATTGCCCAAATTACTAGGTTATTAAAATGCTTTTCTACGTATAAAATAGTTAAAGTCTTCCGGAAAAATGTAAATGAGATGCATAATATGGCTTACAATCTAGTTAAGTGTGATAATGTAGATTTTTATTCTAACATATCAAATCAATATTTCCCTCAAAAAAAAAAGTAAAGAAATTAAGGCTTTGTTTATTTGATTTTTTAGTGTGTGTTTTTAGGTGTTTTTTGTATTGGAAATGTAAAAAGGTATGCTGGGATGAGACAGTTAATATTTAATTATTCTGAAAATACCATCAAAAAAAGAAACCAAACAAAGCCTAATTTGTTTTAATTATCCTGTCTGTTTGACATAAAATAAAATTTTGATATTCAAATAAGCAAACCGTTAATTAAACAATCCACAAGAACGGAGCATCATTGCGCCCTTATCAAACTCATAGATCAAGGTGGCTTTGGACCTCCAAGATGGTCTTCGCAGCATCCCTAAGCTGTTGTGCTTCAAACTCAGTCAACTCAATGTTGGTAACACCCAATACTCCGCTACGGCCAAGTTGCGCCGGCAAGCTCAGAAACACATCTCCACCGTTGATCCCATACATACCCTTACAAAGAATCGAAACCGGGTGGATCTTTCTCTGATCACGCAGTATTGATCGAGCCAAGTTAGCAGCTGAGTAACCAATTGCCCATGAGGTATAGCCCTTGAGGCTTATGACCTCGTAGGCACTCCCCACGACTTCTTTGCGAATGTTCTCAAGCGTGTCCATTTCGTACGTGATTTTCTGGCGTTCTAGGTAGCTTAAAACGGGCACTCCCCCCACGCTTATGCTTGACCAAAGCGCTACTGAACTGTCTCCGTGCTCTCCAACAATATATGCCTAAAGAGATTGATCATCATTTTCAAACATGAGACAAATTTTGCCATGATCATAGGATAAAGAGGACACATATATATCACTAAAAAAAGTCGTGAGCCAATTTTGCTTCAATCTGATATTACTTCCAGTTCTGTTTATAAGCCAGAATGATAGAGCATGTTTCCTAAGAACCTGATTCTAGCATTGCATCATCTCCATATTTTTCATTTTTATTTTTTTTTTACAATATAATAAGGCAATGGACTTATATAATAGATAGGCTAACATATAAAGCACTGAGGCAGTACGTCAATCCTATGGGTGATATTGACATAATCAGTTCCACGGATCAAACCAAATAAAAAACTACTCTTACTAGTTATTATCAATGCACAAAAGGCCAAACTACAACCATGATGTGATACCCTATCATGACAATTTTTCGGCTACCTGTTCAACTTAAAATTAGATCATTATTTTTAAAGTATAATTGCCCACTAGGCCAGTATCAATAAATAAAGACTTAATCTAATCAGCCGCCATATGTCTCCCATTGTTGCCGGAAACTCAAAAAAATAGGGAGCAAATCTTCTTTTTTGAAAAAAAATAAAAATAAAAATGGCAGCACAATTTCCATATCCTTTCCGAAATGGAATTGTGCCACTAGACTTATTTTATTTCGTAAAGCCAACCAAAAATGAAAAGCAACACTCGAATAGAACATGTTCCCCGCAAATCAGAATTAGTTGGACCAGTAATTTCGTACACCATTATTATAATTTAGAAAAACTGAAAAGCAATTGATGATGACACATATATTTTGAAAAAAAAATAATTATTGTCCAGAAGAAAAGCTAAAAGAAACAATTCAATTCAATCAGTTTCAATTAATTGCGAAAGCTTAAAACTTGCCTGCACGTCCTGAGCATTGACGTCGAGATGATCGGCGAGGAGGAACCGGAACCGGGACGAATCCAAGTTGGTACCCGACCCAATAACTCTGTTCGCCGGAAACTTGGAGAGCTTCCAAGCCACGTAAGTCAACACATCCACCGGATTCGACACGATCAGGAGTATACAATCCGGTGCGTACTTCGCCAACGGCGGAATAATATCCTTAAACATGACCAGATTCCTCTGTATAAGATTCAGCCGGCTCTCCCCGGGAATCTGTCGGGCACCCGCCGTGACGATACACAGATCCGACCCGGCCGTGATGGAGTAATCCACGGAAGCGTGGATTTTAGTCCGGGGAAGGAAAGCGGCGGCGTGCTGAAGGTCCAGCATTTCTCCCCGGAGCTTATCGGCCTTGGCGTCGACGAGTGCCAGCTCATCGCAGAGATCCTGGGTCAAGATCGTCTGGGCAATGGCCATCCCGACATTCCCGGCGCCGATGACGGAGACTTTAGTGTGGCGCTTGGTGGGCGACGGCGGGGCGGAATGGTGAATGGGCTTGAAGAAAGCTTTTGTTAAGTCTAGGCCGCCGGGCCCAAATGATGAGGATGATTCGCTCTTCTTCATAGTGTTGTGTCAATTAGTATGTGTTTCTTGGTGCTGTGCGTGGAAATTGAAGGAAAGATAAAAGAGAGGGAAAGATTTTTCAAGTGTTTTTTTTGTTTTTGTGTGGGATCGAGATTGGGGGGAAATGTTGGGAGATTTATAGGGAAGTTGTGGATTGGAGGAGAAGGAAATGGAAGAAAAAAGAAGAAGAATTGGAGAAGAGGAAAGCAGGGGAAGTGGGGAACAACGGTCGGAAAGAAAGATCTATAAAACGGTCAACGGTTTTGGTTGAAAACTAGATTTGGAAAGGGAGGGGAAATAGGGTGCGGGTGTCTATACAGTATGGATTCTGTCAAAGTACTCGATTCACTATATGGAAAGAAGCTATTGATATTCATAATTTGATATACTCCTACTCTCTTAAAATTATATAAATCAGTTTAAATTTTCATTTTTAATTTAATATGTATTAAAACTGACTAAACTGATCAACAACTTTGGGACGGAGGGAATATTTTCTTCTCCTGAAATAATTTTGTAAATTATTACAAGACAAATTGTATTAAAAATAAAAAAAATTCAAATTGGATCATTCTCTTGGGACAAAAAGGATGTGGGATGAAATTTTTTAAGTAAAAAGTTATCAAATATTGTGGAGGCAATAGTTTTGTTGAAAGCCTTAAACATAATCTTTGTGTGTATTATAAATCATTATACAAAGAGAATAAAAATTATGTTTCCATTTTATTTAATAATCTATTTTTGAGGAATAACTAATTAATTAAAGGAATGATGAATCGAAATATTAATTTATATAAGATAAAGAGAATTACATCGACATAGATTATATGACCTATTACGAGAAATCATAATGGTTTAAGTTTCAATACTTCTACCGCCTTTATTATAAAAAATAACAATAAAAAAAATTAGACACATTACAAACATCAATGAGTTGCAAATAACCACTAATTGTTGTCCCACAATAATCACTATCAATGAGTTAATTACACTTTGGCCACTATGTATTTGATATGTAATTACCACCAATAATAAATTGATAACACTTCATAACTTAACGAAATCAGTACTGATCCAATGCAACTTATATGTTGTTGGTGACTTTCGATCAATACTTCCATGGATCATTACACCATCACTTCAACGTTTCCAAACTGCTTATTATTCTGAATGACTATCTTTTTCTAGGGTAAAAATCAATCATAAAATGATTACTTTTTTTTTTTGGTTGTTGACCTATAATTAATAAAGTATTGTCTAAATAGAATTGGGAAGTGTATAATTAATTTCCACTTGAGGAAGCTAGACGGGTGGAACACTGAATTAATTTTCTCCCCTGGTTTCTAGAGCTTAGAAAACATCAATAATTTTCTTCGCTTGGCGTGCACCTTTCCGTACTTCGGAAAATCTACTGCGTTTCTACTCGGCAATAATCGATTAAAATAAAATAAAATGGTAGTGGGTTGCTTTCTTCTCAGAGATCTCATGAAACACGAAAAGTCAAAACTCCACAAAATCATAAATACATTATTATATACTCCTTCCGTCCCATAATTATTATCCAATTTTACTAAAATGAAAGATTTTACTTTTGGTCAAACTTAACTATATTTTACCTTGAACAACCGGATATACCCCTACATAAGTAATTATTTAACCACAAAGATTTGATGGATAATATTTTTTACTAAGGACAAATGTATAACTTGATCCATAAAAAGTCAAATTGGACAATAATTTTGGGATAAAATTTTTTGAGCAAAGGGAACAATAATTATGGGACGGAGGGAGTATTATTTTCCATGTCCCAAGTTTAATAATCCCAATTTAAAAACACTACAAAATTTTAAATTTTCAATTATCAATGTCACGAAATGCTATAATATTACGTTATACCTATTTCATTTGATTTCAACCTTTGAATGATACAAGTTTCGTGAGTTATATTTTTGAATTTTTTAATCAACGAATTAGGACAATGGAAATTACCCAGAAATGTAATGTTAGTTTTATGTTTCCTAAGACCTGAGTTATATATAATATATGTACACCTTGTTTTGGAAGTTGCCTTATTGCTTGCAATAAAAGAAATGGAAAAAGACAAAGCAAGAAACCATAATTCATTTTACACTTTAGAGGATTAAATGGAGCCCCTTGATTACGTGATTATACAGTTGATGGGTTCAGTTTTATGAAGAAAATTCAATTACCATGGGCATGTCTGGTTTCTGTGCCAAAAGTCATTAAAAACATTCCACTTTTTTTTTTTTTTAATGAAAGAATTTTCGTCATATAATAAAAGTCTTTGGTTATTGTTGATAGTTGCTTCAACTTTTACACGATTCGTCGAAGCGTCTCTTGTTTTTCATCACTTTATTCTCTTATAAACACATCTTATGATAAGAAGCTAGCCGATTGATCATCATATTTTGGTAAAAAGTTATAATTTTCTTTGGCTTTGTGCTGGACGTTTCCACGAGTTAAAATAATTACAAGTTAAATCAAATATCATTTGCATAGGGCGTTCGAGTTTATTGTCCTGATTAACTAATATTCTCTCTGATTCTTATTATAAGATATTTTGATTTTATCTTAAGTTTTACCTAAACTGTCTTTTTAATTAGAAAAAAAACTTAAAAATATATTTTCTTGTTCTTTATGTTCTAATCTTTATTAGAAAATATTTTTAAAGTTTTTATTTCATTTAAAAAAACCATCCTAGTGAAGTTTAGGACAAATCAAAATGTTTTATTATAAAGACCGAAGGGAATATGTATTATAGTGAGTAAATCTCTCTCAAGAAAAAATCACATTTCTGACTACTATGAATTTGAAACAGATTAGTTTCGTTTGGGAAATAAAATTCTCCCAAAAGTTAATTTAATCACTTTTATATGTCCATATTTGAGTTTGATTACACCCAAATCATAATTAATCCAGTCATGTACTTTTAGAATTTAGACGAAGAGTTTATTGATTATTATTCAAGAATTTTCAATTATTACACTTTCTATGAGCCATCAACCTGTTGCAATTGTGAAGAAGTACTTGCTAATAGGAAACATTGAATTGATATTACTCTAAAATTTTTTATGCTCATATTCAGTTGCATAGTCATGAGATAGGCGAGACAATCTTGTTCCTTTTTCTTTTTTTTTTTTTGTGAGAATAGACAATCTTGTTCTTTGGTTTTACGTAGATGAAGCTTCCCAGTGCACATCAACAAGCTTGCTCATTCTATATCATATTATTAATGAATTAGCCTCATCACTTAGTACATATGATTGAAAATTGTGGCCTTAGATTAGTTGGGACCATAACCAAGGAAGCTGCACAATTTTATTTACTTGTTTTTTTCACATAACTGAAGCAGTCTCTACAGTACACCATGGCCAATATTGATTAATTTGTTTGCTAGATTGTAATAATCTCAGTGGTTGTCAAAAGATATTTATAAAAAAAAAAAAAAAAAAACTGTTCCAATTGAAAGTGAGATTTAAACCTCGGCATTTAAGCTACACAAATTTATTGAAATATCATTGTACATCAATTTATCCACATGCATTTCGTGGCTCCAAACTAAGGAGCTTTATGGAATCAAAATTGTAACAGCTTAATTGAACGTACTGGAACAAGCAAAAAAACTATAGACAAAGAGCTGCATTTACTAGCTAGCAAGACATTTTTAATGAACTCCAGCAGATCATTCAATGGGGATATCTTATACTCTCTCTGTCCCAAAATTATTGTCTAGTTTGGGATTTCACTTTTAGTATAGTTTGAATTAGAATGAAAATCCAATCTGGACAATAATTATGGGACGGGGGAGTAACACGTAACTTTCATCATCAATACAACAATTTGTCTGAAGATTTGTGTAAAGGAAGAAACTAGTGACCAAAAAAAAAGCTTCAAAAATTCTGATCAGTAACTTGGATAGATAGTTCTGCAAGAAATTGCACTGCAAAGAGTTGTCTCAGAAACTTCTAGGTGAATAGAAGAAAATCACAATGTTGAAGGAAAAACTGACAGGTTCATTACATTTTTCCCTGATGATCTCAAAGTATCCATATGATACCGTAAATCTTTGTTGCGAGCCTTCATAATCCAACCACCTTCTTCCACGTACTTGATTTTGAACTTCTCACCTATTAGTTCGAAGCTTTCATCCAATTCTCTGCGCAAGTCTTCAATCCCCGAGTCACTACTGATTGGAAACTTTACGGTATCCTCTTTGAAGGTTGCCCTAACAATCATTGTGTAAATGTCATCTGTCTCGTTATTACCCCTTTGAATATTTGTACCCTTTGCAGTACCTGTGGAAACAGAATTCCCGGCCACAGCCTCTTGTTCCGCCAAATTGATGTTAGGATAGCATTTGATCTCGGATTCCTTAAACTCACCTTCTACAGGCTCAGAAGATGTATTTGGTACACATGTCAGAGTAGGTCCAGTTACTGAAAAAATAACAGCAAAATAGTTCATAAGATAAAAATGATCAAATTTTCCTGAAGAAATGATAATTATAATAAAATTTATTTTATTTATGATCTTCTAGTCCTAAATTGGTTATATTTTAGTGATTATTAATGGATTTTGTTATGCCTTTGTTGTTAGGTACCAAAAAGTGAAAAGATGGACCATTTTGGATTTTTACGGCCCTTTTACAAAGTTTTACGGAGTTAAAAGATGAAGAAAATTCCAGCTGCAAAGAATACATACAAATGGGTTCTTAGAAGATTTTTTTTACCAAGTCAACCATCCAAATCTTGATCTCATATTCGGTTGTAGAGATCATGCAAAAAAAACTGATTTAGTGGAAAACTAAGATGAGATTTGATTTGTATTTACTCTCATTTCTTTGGGATTTTTGTTCAGCCATTATGCACTATAAATAGTGACCTCCTCAATTGATAAAACCACACCCCACTCCCGTAGCTTAGCAAGCTGCTACCCCCCACTCTCCATTTTTATTAGTTTTGTTTAAGGCTTTTTTTTGTCGTATTTTCATTTTCTTTTAAAAACTTAAAAAAAGTTTCTAGTCACTATGAGTAGCTAATTTTCTTCATTTGGTTCAAGGATTTTTATTCTTTTATATTATATGTGAGACTACAAGTTTTACTTTATTTTTTCTACTTTTAATTCAAGTACTTGTTGATTTTAATTTCTTTTTATGAGAGTAGATACTTGATTAATCTGACAATTTAATTAAGTATTTTCTTCCTACTGCTACCAAATTGTTTATGCTGCACTATCGTCTTAAACATTTGGCACTAAGTAGCACATTAGCAGATTATGCATGTTGGTAGTGACACGTTGAATGTGCATAATAAGTCTAACTAGGAGATCAATAGGACAAAAACATTTTAATTGCAGCTATCTCAATTATTTTAGTTTTTAGTTCAACTAAATTTTCAAAGTTTTTATTGCTAGTATAATTTAACATGGAACGCTATCGTGTCCAGTTAAATTATACTAAGTTTTGATTAGGTGCTGGGCTTGGTCAAATATTTTTAGAAAATATAAGGCTTTTTACGGCTATCCTATTAAGCCTACGGTTGAATGCTTGAGTTGTAAAAAAATTTATTTTTAGTCGATGATCTATAATATATTTGAATCATTCCTTGAACCAAAGTTTTTCTATTATTAATTTTCTCTCTATTTTTATTTACTTCAAATTGTCATTTTATTTTAAAGAAGAAAAATCTCCCCTGTTTGCATTTTTATAAAGCCAAGTGTTAAAAGTTGGCTCTTTTGGGATTCGACCTGATTTCACTGTTTCTGTAAATTAATTTCGGTCTATTAGAAAATCAGATTAATTTTTGCGAGTCTCGACAAATCCTCCAAGAAAACAAAAGGACAACTGGCATTTAACTAAAGAACTTCGAAAATTATCACCTACAAGTGCTGCTGCGGCATCTTCAAGTCTTTTACCGCATTGCTGAATCACATCGTCTAAAGTTGTGTCCGCAAAAAGAGTCTTGAAAGTCTCAGCTTTGTCTTGTATATCAAGCTGGAAAATGGGCGGGTTTGGACTACTTGAAATTGGTTTTTAATGGTTATTAGCTTAATGGGTAAATACCCATCCATATCCATTAAATTTAATGGATTTAAATGGATGGATATTAAATACCCATGGGTATCCATAGATATCCATAAATATATACCCATGGATATCCATAAATACATTTAGTGGACTTTTTAACATAAATACATATGTTACCAATGTAATAAATATGAGCCCAACTAAATAAAAATAATAATAAATTAATTCTTTCACACCAATATGAATAGTATGAGTCCAATAAGTTGGAAATACAAGTGTATATTTTATTTGAACAAAAATTTAAATGTGACCCAAATATTAGATCACCCTTTTAAAACTTGATGTGAAACATAAAACTTATTATTCTCCTATATTAAAATTCATGTTTGTACTTTATTTAACAAAAAAAAAATCAAAATTAGACCCATATATCGTGGCCAGGTTATTGAGTCAACCCAACTCGACCCAGTTAACTATTGCTTGAAACGTGAAAATTTGAAATTCAACGAGTTTGAAAATACAAGTATAAGTTTTATTTGAACCAAAAAAAAAAAAAGAATTTGCCCGCTTATCGTGATCCGGTTAATGGATTGACCTAGCTCGATTCATGGGCCGATCCAGTTTGATCCATTGGTCGACCTGGTAAAACGTGACAGAAAACATAAAAATTATTAGTCTCTTAAGTTAAAATTCATGATTGTACTTTATTTTTTAAAAAATTCAAAATACTATACATGTATCGTGGTCCGATTACTGGGTCAATCCAATACGACCTGTCAATCGACCCAGTTTTAATATGGCTCGAAACATGAAAATTGAATTTCAATGAGTGAGAAAATACAAAGTGTAAATGTTTCTTTGAACAAAAAAATAAAAAAATCCGATCCGCGTATCGTGACCTGGTTACTGGATGGACCCAACTCGATTTACGGGTCGATCTATGGATCGACCGGTAAAACTTAGTAGAAAATATAATTATTAGTTTCCTAAGTTAAAATCCATAGTTGTACTTTATTTTTTTAAAAATCAAAATTCGATCCATGTACCGTGGTTCGGTTATTGGGTCGATCCGACATGACTCATGGATCAACCCAGTTTAATATGGCTCAAAACGTAAAAATTGAGGCTTTGTTTGTTTGTTTTTTTAGTGTGTGTTTTTAGGTGGTTTTTGTATTGGAAATGTAAAAAGGTGTATTAGAAATGTAAAAAGGTATGCTGGGATGGGACAGTTAATATTTTAATTATTCTGAAAATACCATCAAAAAAAGAAACCAAACAAAGCCGAACTTGAAGGAGTTAGAAAATACAAGTGTAAAACTTATTTGAACAAAAAAATAAAAATTAGACTCGTGTATCATGACCTGGTTACTGAGTCGACCCACCTCGATGCATGGGCTGATCCAGTTATACTTGCCGTAAATGTAAAAACTTGAAGTCCATTAAGTTATAAAATATAACATTGTTAAAAAGTAATTTTATATATGAGTCAACCCGCGAGTAAAAATTTTATAGTAAACTAGTTGATTCACAACCTACGCCCATATGTAACCCTTCCTTAAATGAGTAGGGTTGGGTCGGGTCATGGCCTACTTAAATGATGATTGTATAGTTTGAAAATCCAATAGACTACCCGATGGGTAACCCGTCGTCTAAACAACTTTTTATCCAGATCCATCCAAGCCCAGCATTTTAAATGGATGGACATTTATGGACTAAAATCCAATGGATTTGGATGGGTATGGGTAGTAAGTCTGTAGGTATTCTTGCGAACTCTACTTGTATATTAGGAGAACCAGTAGGGCTACAGTTTATATCTCTAGCAGCTGTATCATCATTTCCATGTTCACTAACACTAGCTCCCAAGGTTGATGTCTGATCTGACAATGGAAACTGCTGACCTTCTGTTTCAGTCACTAAGGCTTCACGACTATTCAGAGTTTTGGCACTTCGAAGCACATCAAGTAAACAAAATTAACATCTTCGTGAGAGATTTTGACTGAGAATTCCTCATTTTCCCCTAACCCGAAATCACTATCATAGACTGAGAGTTCCTTAGCTAATCTAGAAAAGAATTACTTCAATTTAGCCTCTGCCTTGCCGGCAAATTTTTATTTTGGTGGAAGAAAGATTTCTACTATCAACTCAGGGAGCTCAGGATGAACTACTTTTAAGGGAAAGGCAAAACAAGCTGCAAGAGTGGATGAAGTAGTCATATGGATAAGAGGATAATCAGAAATTTTAAGTTCATTCCTACCATCTATCAAGAAGCACGACTTCCTTAGTGAATATGATCTTCCAACCAAACCTTTCTCACATCTAACGAAACAAGTTGGGTCTGAAGTCATTTCATTAAGCGCTTTAGCTAACTCCATATTCCAGTCGATGAATGATGACTGAAGGAATAGCTTAGTTCAACTCTCATCATCCTCAACAAAGTCGTTGGTCCACTGCACATGCAAGGAACCCATACCTGAATAAGAGGTAGCTTGTACTTTTTCCGTTAAAACTTGAGCGCATCATCAACGCGAACTTGTGAAACAAATAGGTTTGCCCGGCTCTGATACAATGGCAAAATTAATCAAACACCAAATTTGACAGCAATTTTGAATCAACACAAGAAAACAGTATTGTTTGAAGTCCACTTACCTTGTAGCATTTGTTGGGATGTGAACCTGGACATGTAAGGCCTAAAGGCTACAAAAACAAGATACACAATTAGCCTGAAGTGGTGATAAACATATCAAACTGAAAACTTGGTCTGACTGATGATGTGTTTTAACACTATAGCCAATCGAACGCAAAGCAACGACGCGTACCGTAAGCGCATTAAAGATCCTATCAAATGCCGTTACAAGTGAAGACGAGGTTGTCCCTGCTACGCATTCGAGTACTCCAAAACAATGCTGCAGCTGGGGAGAGCCATCAAGTTGGCAAATTGGAAGAGCCCAGTACTGAGAAATGCCATGTCTTACAGCAAGTTCCCTCAAGGGAAACTCCTTTATGGAGTAAGACCACACATCTGGACAATATCCCGGAGATCCTCTTTTAAATGACCTCAAAATAGGGCCATGTTGGGTCTCATCATCATCTTCCAACCAATATTCATAATGAATGCTTCCGTTGCGGTACTTGGACAGATCAGGAAAGCTACTGAAACCAAGTCGAAAAGGCCCTTCTGAAGCAGTAAGCATTGTGCGGCCGTGGATGTTTTTGGTGGGAGTCCAAAACTGTAACAAGGCATCTCTCAGGTCTCCTTCTTTCCAAAATTCCTCGTCTAAAAAAGACTGGATTTTTCGTCGGATTGACCGGTGAAGGGACCGTGATTCTCCAATGGAGGCTGAAAATTGAAATTGAGGGATTTACCAGTGATTATCAGTTGTTTAATCATCCGGGAAAAGATTCTCACAGAATTGTGGAATTTGACTAGAATTAAGACAAGGGTTTGACCAACTCTATCATAGAAGAAAGAAGGAAAGAAAGAAATGCCGACTTACGAAGTGATTTTCTGCGGATTTAGACAGAGGCTCGCGCTTAAGCTCTTTGGTTTTGGGCGATGAGTTGCATTTAACGGCTGAAACTTTTCGTCCTCCGCTAGGATTCATTGCACCGCCTGGCACCGATTATGCGGGGTTCGGGTGGCGGCAGGGGAGAGAGCCGGGAGGCAGAGTCGGCGTAGTTAAAAAAAAAATGGATTCTCTGAACAAGAACTAAAATTGAGATTTACTGCCGGGAAGAAATTTAAGGCCTTTAAGCGAGAAATAATGCTACCACTTCACTTGCATAACAAATTCAAAAGGGTTTCGGATTCTTCATTCGAAATTTGGATGTGTATACTTGGTAATTATCTTAATTATATTAGGTAACTATCCTGTTCTTTTTTAAGCTGTGTGAATATCGTATCAGTTAATTAATTTCGATAGCTCCAGGAAAGGAATAAATATCGTTTTTTTTCCCTTTTGAAGAATAAAGGAATTTATAAAATGGCTAGAAGTAAGGACCATTTTTTTTTTTTTGGTTAAAAAGAGTGTATTAATTCATTACACTTGCTTGATTGCTATTGAATCCTAATGACCAATGTTTCTCAATATTTCACTCCGTTAGCTCTAAACTGAGTGTATGAGCGAATATATTGAAATTTATTTCAACGGTCAGTAAAAGATATTTTCTCTCCACAATTATTTCGAGACTTGAAGAGTACCAAATCTCCAAAAATGAGCTTTTGATGGCAGCCAAAATGAGCTTTGATAAACTAGTTTACATCATCAAACTTTACATGATCACCAATTCCTAAAGCGGATTCCCATACAACCTTTCTTGAACCTCTAGACCTAGGATTCTCAAGATAAAGTGAAAGAAGCTTGCATCAAACCTTTGCCACCATCCCGGACCAAAACGATTCAGCAAGAAAATTATTCCAAGTCCAACACTAAATCCCAAGGTAGCACTTACGTATGCCCAATCAATTTCATGATTCTTGGATGTACTCAAACTTACCGGAGTCGATGATGATGATCCGTTATTGTTCATTAAGCCATCGTTGGTGCAGCTAAAGTTCAGAGGAAATCCACAGAGTCCCCTGTTCCCCATAAATGAAGACTCGGTGAAAGTTTGGAATTGCTTTCCACTTGGGATTTTTCCAACCAGTTGGTTGTATGAAAGGTTCAGAAATTCGAGGAATGTAAGATTCTCCAAATTTATTGGAATCTTCCCTGTTAATTGGTTCACCGAGAGATCTAAGGATCCAAGCTGAGCCAATTTCCCCATTGATGCCGGAACCGGGCCTGTGAAGGAATTATGAGACAAGTTGAGAAGGTAAAGCGCGCTTAGTTCTCCAATTGCATCTGGTATTTCTCCCTGGAAATTGTTGCATGAGAAATCCATTACTGTATAAATGGTTAGAATCCTACCAAGCTCAAGTTCCACACCTTTGATGGTTAGATTCACAACATTCTGATAAGACCAGTGACGATAATCCAGGTATATTACAAAATCCGAGACTTCATATTGCAATGGTTGTGATGCTTCAGCACCAATGTCCTCAATCATCATTCCTTTCCAATTCAAGAAAAGTTGTGCTGGAAGAAAACCACTGAAATTGTTGCGAGCAATATCCACGATCTGAAGACTCGGCCAACTGCTCTCGTTATTGTTCCATTTGCAATTGATTTCGCCATGGAACCTGTTGGATCTCAAAACAAGAATGTGTAAATCTGGTCGGTTCTCCATCAATTTGCAGGGAAAATTGTCCTCCAGGTAGTTGTTGCCAACATTCAGAACTTCTAAGTAGCAATTGGACAAAGTGTTTGGAAGCTTTCCTTTCAAGGCATTTTTGCTGAGGTCTAATGTTCCTAACACACAGTTTTCACTGAATGTGTTCGGCATGAGACCTTGAAGATTGTTTCCAGCTAGATTTAGCACAATGAGATTCTCCATCATAGCAAATAGACAACCTGGTATACCTCCACTCAAGGAATTATCGGACAAATCAAGAAATTTCAGAGAACCTACGTTGCATATGGATTCTGAGATTTTTCCTGAGATGTTGTTGTTTGATAGAGAGAGGTAAACACAACCTAAAAGGTATTCACCGATTCTAGGAGGAATGGATACATTGAAATTGTTCTTCGAGTAGTCTAGGTACTCCATACTCGGCGTTGGAAGTGGTAACTCACCACTGAGCTGATTAGCGTGTAAGTCAAGCACACTAATGCTGGAAAAATTGTAAGGCTTTTGAAACCCTTCTAAGTGATTGAAAGAAAGATTCACATTTTGAAAAGAGCCATTTCTGATGTTCCAAAACCAGTTAGGTATCTCCCCAGTAATTTTGTTTAGTGAAAGGTCTAAATTAGTCAGTAATGTTTGATTCTTCAGAAATTCAGGGAAGATTTTCAGGTTGCAAGAAGCAAGTTCTAGGTCATTGAGCTGTGGAAGGGAGGATAAGCATGTTGAAGTACTATTGCAGGTTGCATCCATCAGAAAATCATTATATGAAAGACTGAGAGTCTTAAGACTTCTGAGTCCACTAAACATATCTGCTCTTAGATTTCCAGTAAAGGAATTAAAAGAAAGTTTGAGGACAACAATCTTCTGGAGATGAAGAAAAAAATTCGGAATCTGTCCTCCAAGACGATTATTACTAAGATCGAGTTCCATGAGCAAAGAGGAGGAAGCATTGATGGTCAGGGACTCCTGATCAATCTGACCTTCAAATTGATTACTGGAAATTTGTAAACTTTGCAAAGATGGAAGAGCAAAAAAATATGATGGTAACCTTCCGGAGAGGAAATTGTCCTCCATGGTAATAGATTGAAGGTCAGGAAGACCTTCAAAATGAGCAGAATGTATTGGACCCGTCAAAGCGTTAAGGGACAAGTCAATGTGTACAAGTTTTCGGGACATTTGGAAGGAAGGAATAGAACCACTGAATTTATTAAACCGTAAATCCAAATAGACCAATTCGGATATGTTCCCTAATGTGCTTGGGATTGCCCCCTGGAATTTGCACGCTGACAAGTCTAAAACGGATAATGCTCTTAGGTTCACTATGGAGTTTGGTACTGAACCCGAAAAGTTTGTAGAACTAAGTATTATCTCTTTTAGAGATCCAAAAGCCTGAAATTCTGGCAAACGCCCCTGGAGCTCGTTATTGTATGACAAATCAATAATCTCCAGTGTTGGCATATGAAAAATCTGTTCTGGAAAATTTCCATGAAAATCATTACTTCCAAGGCCTAGGCTTATTAAACTGGAGAAGTTTGCAAAGAAGTCAGGAACTGAGGCTGAAAATTCGTTGCCCTCGAGTTGTAGAACAGTAAGTGAAGTAAGATTCAAAAGAGAAGAACAAATAGGACCCAAACGGGAAACACCACTCAGACTCAACACTTGTAACTTAGACAGAAATGACAAAGTGTCGCACCAGGAAGTAGTACTCTCTTCAGTTGAGAAGAACCCGAATTGCGAAAAGTTCAGGTACTTTAGGCCGGTGAGATTACGCAGCTCCACTGGAAATGCATCATGGAAATCACTCCAGGCCAGATTGAGGTACTCAAGATGCTCCAGATTGAAAAGTGACTTCCAATTCTCATTTTGGATGGAGGTTATTTGATCCGGAAGTTCCAGGCTGATAACATGGCCAACACTATCACATCTTATTCCATCCCATCTGCAGCAATCCGTGGATTCATTCCAGTTTTGAAGTTTGTTTGCATATATGAAATCGAAGTTCAAACCTTCCCTAAATTGAAGCAGCTTTGATCTTTGATCATTGAGACATGTGGCATGGATGGAAGATATGATTTGGTAGAAGAGAGTTAAGAACAGTAAAGAGAAAAGGAGTCTTCTTCCCATTTTTTAGAAAATTGGTGCATGAATCAACTGCTCCAAGACTTTCTAATTCATGATTCTTATTATATTCATTAAAGATGATATGTCTGCGGAAGTCAAGAACAAAGGGACCGCAAAGACTTGGAAAGTTTTTTGAAGTCTTCCTTACCAGCTCAGTACGGTCCTCTGATGATGACAATTGAAGATTTAATATTAGAGCAATAGAATTTGGATGTTTAGTAGGAAAAAAGAAAAGAAAAAAAAAGCATTGGCTGTTGGGGTAAAACAGGAGCAAAAGAATAAACAATCAAAATCAAAATGGTAGGTAAAGTTCCTTTTGTGTTTTCAAAAGTTCGGTTGAATTTTATAACCGGATAATGACCTAAAATACATTAAAATAATTCATCTTATTCTATTATTTACATTCTTTAGTGTATTAATAAAGATGATTCTTTTAACGCTATGAGAGGATATATAGGAGCTGTGCCAAAATTAAAGTTGTGTTGTTGGATTAAAAAAAATCACGTTCATGAATTGGTCCTTAAAAGATAAACGTACGTGCTTTCTAGGACTAATTAGTTCATTCAGTAGAAATGACAATAAAGTTTAGGAGACAAACACTACTTAGGAAGCCAGGTACAATGATTCCATGAAGCCTTGGAAAATTCTTAAGCCTTTGACCAGTTAAGCTTGCAGTGAACTACTGCGAAATGTGTAATCAGGAAGGAAGTAGGAAGGTGGTTAATTATATGCTGATTCTTTTGCTTGGAGGAATATATAGAATTTTTTCGTTAAATATATTTCCTTAAATATACCTGAAAAAAATAAACCTTCCAAAAATTTTGTGGACAAACTTATATGTCACGGATTTCGGAAATCCGAAACAAGGGTAAACTCGGATTTCTGAAATCCGAACTCCACTAAATTCGGATGAGAGAAATCCAAATTTGTGTTATGTAAAACCGATATTAAGTTAATGACAGAAATTAGTATAATTAATTTAAATCCGGATTTTTCAAATCCGTATTTACGAATAAAATATTAATTTCCGGATAGAAAAAAAAATATAAGTCTTGGAAAATTAAATTTGGGTAAACCCAGATCACGGTAATGCGAATGTATGTAAATTCAGATTCCCGTAATCCGAATCTCCTCTATTTTCTGCAAATTGGGAACTCCCAGTTGACTCTATGTCAGAACTGAAAAAAAAAAATTGAACTGGTTTTAACCAGTCTAAAACCTATTTACAGCACCGACAACAATGAAATATTAGAAAACAGAAATTTAATGGCAATAAAACAATAAACGGCATTCGATTAACAACGAAACAAATCAAGTTTCAAACCAAAATCAATAAAAAAACTACTTTAAATGTGCAAAATACATCAAAGGTCTCATTTTTTCCTTTTTCCTTTATTATGAGCATCCGGGGTGTATTTATTTGGGTCTTGCTGGTTTCTGTCTCCCCTCTTAAGATACGTGAGTATTGAACCCTGTTGTTGACGCGGTTGGGGTTAGGATTGGGACTCCCCCATGGTGAGAAATAGGACTCCCGGTTGTGGTTGCGAGTATCCACCAAACTGAGTCTCGGGTCCACCAAGGTCAAACTGAGTCTCGGTCCCACCAATATCTTCAAATTGAGTCTCGACTTGGATGCACGAGTCTCGAGAAAAATGTGCTTGATCCTCATTTTGTTGACCCTCAGTTTGTTGTTGCGATGTCCGAGGGGGGATTGGGACCTTTCTCTTTCTTCCTCCTCCAATCTTATCGCTCGACCACGGTTTCGCTTTTTTAACCGGCGGAGGTTGCGAGGGCAAAGATGGTTTTTCATCAACTAGGATTTGGGTATCCTTCACGTCCATCTCATCATTTGCACCCAGGGTTAAAGCAGCATGTGTTTGATTGATGATATCGTTCAAATACTTGTCGAGTTCTTCGTCTAGGAGATTCTCATCTTCTCATTTTTCTCTAAACTTCTCGGAACTCACGCGAATGTTGTTCAATACTTCACCCTAAAAAGAAATTGGGACGTTAAATAAGAGAGTAAAATTCCAAAAAAATAAATAAATAAAAGAAAAACATAAGAAATAAAAAATATATATAGAATATTCACATATAATTTCACTCGGCTCGAAGAAGTCTCATATCCTTTAGGTTCATAATTTTTGAGATTGGATATCAGCCTGACAGTGTTCACCATGAACCATTCATAGTATCCCTCATATACGAAGCCAGGGTCTCCTTCCTCCAAATCTCGTAGCACGTACTCTTCTCTCCTATTCCAATGACAACGTATTGCAGAATGGTGATCCACCCAATTGTTGCTAGGATACCCAGACATATTGTGGGCGCGATCGAAAAGAAATGCTGCGTTATCTTTAATCATAGGGCGCTTGGGAACATCCTGTATGTATCCATATTGTCTCACAACTCTGCCCGACTCGTGGGGTTCCCTAATAGCCCAACAGAAAATCCAACACCTGGTAGTCCAAATGGCTTGGCCTTGTTTACAGAAATAAGGGAGTCTATGAAGGACCTTTGCATATGTTTGGCACTGAAACTGCACGAAAAGAATTTATTTAGATGGTATACCCGGAACGAAAAGAAATTCAAAATAAATATAAATACCAAATTAAGTACTTACATCTTCAACACGAAGGCTTGTTAATTGATCTCTAAAAGGTAGGGTGCTGCTCCTCGGGGCGTCTCCGTAGGTGTACCTACATCCCCACCTTAATGAACAAACACGACGGGTTACATTTGAATTAGTAAAAAATATGGATAAGAAACAAATAGAAATAAACATTGAGTTATTTTGAAATGAAAATACGTACTGCTGAGCTAATAGAGCGGTCTCATCAATCAAATAATCTACTCCTTTTCTTTGTGGCGCGATTCTCTCGATCCGCTCATACGCCCATACCTAGTAAATTTCAGTAATAATGTTAAAACTTCAAATTATAACGTCGAAAGCAAAAAACAATTATAACACCAATTGAAAACTAATACGTACCTGTAGCAAATATAGACACCCAGTGGCGTCGTGCATGGTGTACTAGGATGCCTTGCACAGTCCAGAGTACAAACCAGCCAGCAGTGCCGATCCCCAACTGTATCAACTACACTGATCCAAATCCTCAACCTGGGCCAAGAATTGCAGATTGACAGTGTTTTGCGTCTTGTTAGGAACCATGAAACTGCTAATAAAATGCAGTATAAGTGTCCCGGCCCTTTGCTCGAATTGCTGGACTGTGGAATTCTCAGGGAGTGCACGGCCCATCTCGTCCTCGAAAATACTAACATTGACACATTGGCCATTTACTTAGGCTGGCCGAAATCCCAAATAAGTCTCACATTGATCTCGTCATTCATCTGCACTCCGGCTAACTGTCGTCCTGTACACTGGGTCACCATCCACCCGAATACCAAAGAGGACCTCGACATCCTATAGTGTCACAGTTGCCTCTCCGAAATTGAAGTGGAAAGTGTAGATTTCTGGCCTCCACCGTTCCACCAACGCTGTAATGAGACCGAGATCCAATTTTTTGTACCCTGCTTTCATTATCCCCTCAAAACCGGCTCTCTTAATGACTTCCTTAACCTCCGGTGCCGTATCTTTGTATATCTCCCAAAAATCGCTATCGTATCTACGGCCCTTAGGCGGAATGTTTTAATGTTGTGGATCTTGTTCTCATAGACAGCTTGGGACCTATGCTTTGTTTGACGATGTAGAATTTTATCTTGTATCGGCCCCGGGTAAAGATGATTAGGTTGATATTCATATTGCGAGCCCGATGCCTCCTCCGCCATTTCAATCCTACAAAAGGTAACCAAAGAAAACATCAATGCCCTAACTCATTCGGCCAAAAAAAAAAAAAAAAAAAAACCTACACATTCGGCCAAAAAAAAAAAAACCTACACATTCGGCCAAAAAAAAAAAACATTCGACCAAACCAAACTAATACACATTCACTGACTTTAAAATGTAAGAAAGTACTTATACATCATTTAGTAATAGATTCGACATTTATAATTCAGATTACAGAAATCCTAATCCCGGGAAAAAATAAAAAAATAATTGAAAAAAAAGAAACAAAATTACTTACCAGTGTGTCACTGACCGATGGGAGTTTAGTTTGGAGGTGAGTCGCCGCAAATTCGGTCGCCGGCAGAGGAGTTGGATGTCACAGTCGCCGGCAGTGATGTGGAGGAGTCGCGAGCAGTGGAGGTGGTGGACTGCAGCTGCTGGCGGACTGGGAGAAGTCGCCGGACGGAGGAGAGCTCCAATTGGGTGGTGGAAGGAGTTGCCGGACGGTGGGGAGCGGTTGAACAGCGAATTTCTTTCGCCGGTCGGGGGTGGGGGGTTCTTTTAGGGTTTTCGCCGGACGGGTAATTGGGGAAAATGAATTGGGGAAGAGTTGACCGGCTATTTATAGTCCCCGTCAATCTCGAATTTGTGTAATCCGAGTTCATTAATCCGGAACTCAGAAATCCGAATCTCTCATGTTTCTCCTCAAATTGCACACTCCCGGATGATTTCCTCAATTCGGATTACTGAAATCCGAACGTAGTACAAATTGTAAAGACTCGGATTTCAAAAATCCGAGTACTTTGCTGCAGGAAATAGGCCCTGTTTCGGATTTCTGTAATCCGAACGTAATACAATATGCCTACTTTTGGATTTCGGCAATCCGAATCCTATACAAAACCTTAAAATGAGCATTTTTGTTTTTTGTACAATCCCAAAACCTGTTATCAACAACTAGTATCTATTTCATCACAATCACAGCACCAGCACCAATAATTTAATGTTAACATTACAATCCGAACAATTCAATGTTAACATTACAATCCGAATTTATCAATACAAATATTTATAGAACATCTAATTAAGCAGTTATCATTCCAAATAACTTGCAAGAACACTAAATGACTCTCAATTCCAATTTTCATTCACAGGTCTTCTATCTACTCCTGGGTGCGAGTTAGGACAAGAATTGGCATCATGACCTTGTTATCCACATCTCCAACATTCCCCCCGGCTCCGGCGTCCCCTGTAATCTATTTGCATTCTATGTCTCTTTTTTTGTCTTCGTCCTGGTCCCCCATGCAACACAAGACGCTCATAATTCGGAATGATATTCCAATTGACCGTCCGCCATTGTTCCTCAT